TAGATGATGGTTTTCAGTGGCTCTTCCGTGCGTCCCCTTGTTATGACATTCAAAGTCAGGACGAAGAGGAACGAGCTGAGGGCTGATTCTTGGTGTACCCCTACAGTGATGTCCATCTCCTTTGTCTAGCCGTGCTGCCTTAGCCTCATTCGCTGTGGAGACCAGGTGTTCGGAACGTTTCGTTCCCTGAGCGCTCTCCATAGCACAGGCCAAGATAGACAGTCGTAACCTTCTCAAGTATCAGGAAGGCTAGGTAGCAGGGTCGCCGCTTCTCTCGGTACTTCTTCATCACCTGTCTGGCAATGAAGATGGCATCAGTGGTGGACCTTTCGGGCGGTTACGTGACATCTTGAACTTTTGTGCATGGTCCTGTTACGAAACCCTGTGACGCAGACGGATAGAGGGCAGCGGCTGCCAAAGCATCGAAACGTGCAAAAAACGTATGGCGAGCCAGGAAACGGGATTTTTCAAGGGGAGGGGACTCCGGGGTGGGTGAGCTACTTATAGTCGGTGAAAAGCTGGAGTGAGCGAAGTCACAACGGCCATAGAGTGCCATGCGGACGAGAGAGTGCAGAGAAAAAGAGAAGATCGACGCGTTCAAAGGGATTGAGTTCAAGTTGTCCGTAGATCCTTGTAAAGCCGAACTGTTTCTGCGAGATAGGGGTAAGTTCCCCTCAGTCTTGTGTTGACCACTCGCTCGTACAGCTTCATGGTATGCGGAGTCAACGCGGTGCCACAGAATTGTAGCGCTCCGTTGCGTCTCCTTGCTTGAAGATGGGGACAATTGTGCTGCTCCTCCTAGCATCTGGTCCTTTCTTCGGCGGTTACCCTAATAGCGACAAACCGATACCAGTTATAACACTGACAAGATATCGACAAGCGATAGCTAGTCCATACTGCACCTTCTTCGCATTGTTCCCCTTCTTCTTTCTGTAAAGAGGGAATAGGGGATTACCCAACGTGCAAAGCTCTCTCTTGTCTTCACGCAAGGGTGCAAGGGTCTGTCACCGCAGAAGGACCCCACCTTCCGCGTCTTGAAGCGGCTTTAATAGCAACGTCATGGCTTTTCCCACGCATAAGAAAACTCCTCTCTAATTGCGTTGTTTCACCATCAACCATGTAGCGGTGGGCTTTCGCGCTCTTCTTGTGCGTTTTTCTTGCGCGACCATCGTATTTTCACTATCTTCTATGCCCAGCTTCGTATCTCATAAAAGCCTTACGAACCTACTGGTCTTACTGTAGTGCGTTTTTGGGCGTTTGTCTGTTATCTACTTTTTTTCTTCGAATCGCCTTAGCACCAGGACACTTCGTATTGGATCCTCACGCTGACGAATTGAAACCTTGGGTTCCACTTATGGAATCGAGGCAAGAAGACAGAGCGCAAAAAGAGATACGACCGCCCTCAAAATCCTTATTTGCTACCGCCTCCACCGCCCCGGCTTCCCTTCATTTCCTCCTATTTCGATCTTCCTACCACTTTTCCACAGTTTTCCGAAAAATTTCCACTGCCTAGAAAGTTTGCCGTCGAGCTTCTGCGCACGTGGAAGACGAAAAATGGTAAAAGTCAGAAGACTGATGGCTTATTTTTTGTGAGAGCGAGTGCGACTCCTCCTTCCTTCAGTGGACGCGAATAGGACCCCCTTCCCAATCTCTACCCCATGAGACCTAAAACGAGACCACCTTGTACCAGCAGGTTTAGCCAGTCCTTTTACATCCGAATACTTCACTTTCGAGTGCTTTTAACCTGGCATGTAGCGTAGCGTTTCACATTGTGTTCTTTTTTGTCGCACATTATTTTTTCTTTGACATCAGTGTGGATGAAATACTTTGGTAATATTTTCTTTTGGTAGTTCCATTATTTGGCTTCATGTAATCCGTTGAAAAATATCTGTAATATTTTCTTTTGTGTAGTTCCATTATTTGGCTATGTTTCGGCTATTTGGCTTTACAGCTATCCTGCTCATATATCTCCGTCTCATTTTACACTGGTCATGCTATTTGATCCAGTCGATCGGGGATTTATTTCTTATTCACACTTTGAATTGCATTGCAACACGACGTCTAAGAAAATCCTCTGTCGCATCTGCTCTCGTTTACAGCATATCTTCCAGATATGCCAGCGGATACCTCCCAAAACTCCGCGGCCTTCTATTTTTCAGAGTCAGACATGGGCAACCATCGAAGTGGGAAATTGCCTCCAAAGCACCTGCGAAAGCTCTCTGTCGGAGAACGGGGCTCATACAAGAGCGATGGAGGCTCGTCTTGTCTCGGTCCGGCTCATGTGAAGGAAATGAACGTACTGAACGGTTTTGGTGACCTCAATAATGAGTAAAGAAATTCCGTGGGACTTGTGGTCTTCTGCCTGAGATGGCGAGAGGCCTCAGCTACCATTCTAGGAGTGGCCCTCTACCCTTTTTCTGTCATGCAACTCCTTAAACGTCTTCTTCGGTGGTAGACAAGAAGCAGAATAGGGCCGTCTCTCGACTAATTAACGAGCTGGAAGAAGATAATAGGGTCTAGAGGCAGTTTTCTCGTAGAGACAGTTCCTCAAAGTTGGCAAACCTTTAGGGCGCTGTTTGTCGACGGGGGGCATTTTGTACTATCATTGCTTCCTCAGTTCCGGTTTACATGTCTCACTCTGGCGAAACCTGTGAACTCTTGTGAAGCTGGAACAAGGTAGTCAAGCCATCATGTTAAAACCTGTCAACTCGAGAAGAGGCTGTCTAGATAGGTCGACACGTCGATGGGAAGTAGCAAAGTGCAAAATGCCCTCCCCACCCCCCTCGACAAACTGCGCCAATGAGGCGCACACTCACCAAGGAAGTTCGCCAACTTACCATGGAACATTGAATGGAGACCTGGGTAGATCGATAGAGTCTATAAGGTTATTTACAAATATAGATAGCAAAACTGCAACCTGCATTTCACAAGCAACTTATGAGCAGGTAAAGTTTGTAATGGTGCAGTAGGGTGGAGGCTTGGTGGTGAGCTGTGAAGCATAAGCGAGGAATCGCATACGTCGAATCGAGTCGTCGAACGTCGAACCTTACCACTGAACCACCACGACTCGATTCGACGTATGCGATTCCTCGCTTATGCTTCACAGCTCACCACCAAGCCTCCACCCTACTGCACCATTACAAACTTTACCTGCTCATAAGTTGCTTGTGAAATGCAGTTGCAGTTTTGCTATCTATATTTGTAAATAACCTTATAGACTATCGATCTACCCAGGTCTCCATTCAAAGTTCCATGGTAAGTTGGCGGACTTCCCTGGTCAGCCATTGATGAAATGAGCGACTTTCAATCGCACATTTATCGCAACGTTTTCGATATTTGAAGGCCGTCCATATACTTGTCTCATTTCAGACGAGATGGATAGGGAGACATTCCGCGATCTGCTGATGAATATAATTCGTGAAATCGATCTCGACATCGCTCGTTTCAAAAATCGCAAAGATACCTTTCAACAAATCTACGTACAATATTTTGGAACAGGACCCGATGGTTCCATTTTGGATGATGGCGAAGGTGAGTGTTTTGTCATGAAGCAGTAGGAAGTTTTTGAGACTCTGTTTAGGAGAGGGGGCGTTTTGATCGTTCGCTTGCAGGTTGTAAGGTGTCATATAGCTTTTAGTAGACACAAACAGCAAACGGTGATAACGTTCCCCTGTCACGGCAGTCTTTCAAAACATATCCTCCTCACAAGGTCGCGCTTCTCCAGAAAAGGACATCTGGTTTCTTTCGGGTCTTCTTCGAGAAGAAAGAGTCGCAGAAGCTTAATCTAGCAGAAATCTCGCAAAGGAAATTCGCTGATTGTCTAAAGCTGAATTAGTTGCAGGTCATAGTCGTGCTCTGACTCGAAAACTCGGATCGAAGTTCATTCGTCGAATTACGAATCGAATCACGAAATCAAGTGAGCTGTTCAGTCATATGGATCGACTTACTGAGGCCAGGAAACGACGGCAGTCATATCCAACGCGAGATCAGCGGTTTGTTTCTTTTTCGCCCTTTTCAAATCTCACATTGCAATTTTGGACTACAGTAAAGTCAGTTTGTGCAGAATACCATAGAAATGGCTCGCAGCATGGGCTCTGGTGGCTTTTTTTGTGACAGGATGCACCGCTGATTAACAACAGTAATAACAGCAGTATTTAAAAGATGCGCAGTTTGCTTGGTAGGGGCACCGAATAGTATTCAGCTAAGGTTATTAAGACCTGTAAATCCCTGTGACTAGAGTGGCTCACCCGCATCACTCGGTCAGGGCACGTCATCGCGTTGTAATTAATTTCTGCTAAATACGACCCCCTCCCACTCCAAAAACGATCTCGATACGCCCCCCCCCCGCTCTCCTCCTTAGTCCTATAAGCTTCACTTTATCAGAGATTTGCACAGTAATCGGAAGTGGGTTTGGTATTGGCAGTGCCTTCATGTATAGCTACAGTACCACGGTCGTATAGTTACCACAAAAACGCTGAGGGATGGGCAAAAGTGGGACCCGAGACGGGACCTGAACGTAAATCTCACTAAAGCGGTGAGTGTGCTGTCCGTAACACCATCGGGACAGCTCCTATCTTCTCAACTAAATGCCTTTCTGCGCCATACCCTTGCAGCACTCCCACGTTTAACGTAATGAACGCAAACTGCGGCAATAACTAGCACTTATCATAACAGAACAACTTCGAAACTTCAAATGACAGTAACGTATGTCCTCCCGGGATCTTCAGAGAGCGCATCCCCTTGATGGGCGTATGCGGAAGTGTTGAGTACGAGGCAATCGTGCGTTCGTGTTTGTTGAGATATGGTTCATAATCAGACCACGGGGCGCAGCTCGGCGACGGGGGGAGAGCATTTTACTTCCCATTGATGTTCCAACCCATTTGGAAAGCTTTGAGTTACACGTTTTACCCGTGGTGGCTAGAGCTTGCTGCAGCTTCACAAGTGTCACCAGATGGAGGCTTGTAAACCAGAAGTGGTGAAGCAGTGAAAGTGCAAAATGCCCCTGCCTCCGTCACCGACTGCGCCCTTCCATGGTACTCCCCTTATTTTAGCACAGTTCTACAGCTCAACACCACACCTTGGATCCTTTTTTAGTGGCATCAAAAGTCCGTGGTTGCAGAATTAATTCGATTTCACTTCAGGAATGCATCGAAACGTGGTCGATACGAGGACGATGTGGACTGGGCAACTGATACAGCTGCCGATAAAGCCGGTGGTTCTTCATCGTATATTGGACGGGCCGGCAAGAGTGAGTGATTTTTCGGAAGGTCATCGAAATACTGACGTTCGATCGGAAAAGTTATGTTTTCAGTTCTGAGTTACCCCTACATTTCACAAGAAGAAGAACAGCAGATTCTGTTGGCGTCGAACGACTCCGCCTCGGCTTATGCACAGAATCTCGCCAAGGTTTTGTTCGCTGAGACCCTTGACCTGTATTTCAAGGTGATTTGACGTTTTCGATAGGGTTTTGTTCACAGAATGGCTAAAACTAAGAAGATGTTGCACTGGGTGAAACGTTTAGGATCAAGATCCGGCTAAACGATTATGGATTCATGAAGCCGTCGACTACCGTTTTCCGTCCAGCGATCGCAATGCTCACCACCTAAAATGGAAGAATTGCTCGACTGCCATCAATAAGAATATGCGAATATCCGAACGTGGACCAGCGAATAAACCGAAGCAGAAAGAAGGTGAATCTTTTGTCGAGTAGGTTGGGGTGAACTTCTCCGGTCATCGCTTTACGCGGATCGTTCTTAAAGAACGTACACTCCATGTCCCGGAGACGGTAGAGGCGTGGCTGCGCACTCCATTTGAACATGGTGTAGGATGCATTCTTCGTGAGACGTTTTCATTCGAGACTAACGTCATCTTGTCTTGTGCTTGAAAAAGACATCATTCGTTCCAAAACTACAATATCACAGAAAAGCGCAGCCGCCATCGTCTTGGATGAAGTACGCAGCCACGCCTTCTCCATCCGTGAGATATATAGTGTAATCGCATCATTCCTTTGCGGCTATCTAACTTACTGGCGCAAGATCAGTCTAGGTGGATGAGTGCCCTGAAGAATGATTTCTGCCTCTGCTAGGGATGTTTAGGTGTTTGAGTTTAAAGGGGGGAGGGATGGGGATCGTTTGAGGTCTTGGTCCATTGTTCGTTGTGAACGTTCAGAGTGCTCATTAACCCATCCTTTCCTTCCAAAAGAAGTCGAAGGGGTATGAGTGAGTTGTCGCTTTTGGCGCTCTTTCTGTACAGGGGCGTGTCAAAGGGCTGAGTTTGGCTCGACACCAACCCGATTTCCATCGATCATTGTAGCTTGGCTGCTTCAGCGATTGCTGGGGAACGGGCTGACGCCGCGCTAAATCTAGGCTTCTGATACGTACCAGCGTCTCCAGCGAAAACGACGGCCACATTTGGAGTAAAAAGCTTGCATAATCTTGTAAATTTTAAGTAACACCTTCAAGGGGGCTGAACAGCATTGACAACTTCACCGTTTGATTTCCGAGTAAACTGTCCATTGTTCAGTCGAATGCACCTATCTAACACGAGAATATGAGGAGGAATGTTTCCGAAAAGCCAACAAGGATCCGGTGAAATATGCAGAGTTCATGTCATTGAAACTGTTTGAAGGCTCATGGGACAAGTTTTTCAAAGAGCAGGTGAGTTCTGATCCTCTTTTTGCTTCGCACTCTTCACTGTAACGGGAGCGCACATGTCTGGGATTGCGAGGTATCAGGGTTTCTGTCAACCTCCACCTCAAGATCTCCATTTATTAACTTTCGTGGATCCTGGTTCTCACCGTGAGTGGGGACAATGGGTTCACAGCTACAGCTACATGCCACGTTTCTTGGTTAAGAGAGCACGGCAACGGGTCCGGAGGGCACCAAACGCGCTGCTTGTCTCGGCCCTCTCAGTTCTGGTTGCGATTGATATCGACGCAAGTGCTGCACTTCGAGGATAGTGCTGGGGGAGTATGGAGATGGCAACCGAATATCACTACCCTCCCAAACTCTAACCTCGTTCACTTTCTCGCGGAAAAAGTGGCACGCTACTGCAGCTGCGGATCTACACACCCCACACGAAAGCAGTCCTCGTAGGTTAGTTTACTGTTTGTCTCTAACTAGGTCGCTTCCACGCAACGCGTCCGCTCGCGCAGTTGTTATCAAAAAAAATTGACCAACAAACACCTTTTCTCGAGTTTTGGGAGCTTTGTTGGTGTTCCCGGTATGAGAACGGCTCTTAGGAAACAAGCTAAAATACTAGAGTAATTTCGCCACGCTGCACATTCCAGTAGAAAAACGCTATCAATGCCCGTCTCCCATGATCTCATGCAATGAGGCCCACACTTTCACTTTTCACCACAGGGCACATCTTGCTATTAGGGAGAAGTTTGGCAAAATACGACCCCCTCTCCCCCATTTTCTCCTCTGCTACTACCTCTCCTTCCCCAACCCCCACCCTTCCCCAACATCCTTTTGAACTCTCTCCCAAATTCCTACCTTTTCGGAGTTTTTGGAATTTTTTTTTCGAAAATTCCTCGGTTTCCCCTCCAGAAAACTGCGGTGAACGGGGTGGGGGGGGGGCGAAAGGAGGGTAGGAGCCAAAAAAATCAACTACTAGAAACATCTTTCATAGTGGCATATACAGGGGGGGCCAAAAAAAGTCATTTTGCCTCCATGACTTTCAAGGCGCTATAAGTTACACTTTATTAAATTTTTATCGGACATTTTTACTACCATATTAAAGAGCACATTAAATACTATAATGATACTCCGCCACAGCCTTCTGGAGGAGCGCCATCGAGAGATTCTGCACGCGACCGCGATGTGGTACCTGAGATCAGCGAGGTAGTCGATTTCTCCGCCACCGTAGACCACCCTATTGAACTCCGCCCGAACTAGGTAATTGAGTGGGTTCAGGTCAGGGGACATACTTCAATTACATCTTCTTCAGGTACGAAACGCCCTTCCATTCGAAGTAGGCGGGAGTTTTTCCAAAACCCTTCGATTCCATGTGGTGGCACCCAAACCTGTAGCAGCACAAGGTCTCCAAGAAGGTACGGGCGACCACATGTAGGGAGGATATTCTTCTCGAGTTACTTGATGTAACCGCCAGCGCTCACCTTCAGTCGGGGTCTACAAAGAAAATATCGGTCTTCCCCTTTCCAGGTACCCCGGTCCATACCATCAACTCGCGCCTCGGCGAATACGGTGAAGATGATGTCCTAGACCGTAGCGACGTTGCCGTAGCTGCTCGATGTGGGAGGTCTTGCAGATCAAGAGTACTGACCTCCAGGTAGCTATCTGTGGATGACTTCATTCAAGAAGTTTCGCAGCTGTTTGGAGGCGACGTGAATTCCAAAGGTGTTCTCCAGTCAGGCCGCGACTGGAGATGACTTCATATTTTGGTGTACATGAAGGCGATGGCGGCAGCCGGCTCCTGCTTATAGAGGAAGATCTTGGGTATCTTCCGCCCTGGTACTCATATCCACTTCCTCTGTCTGGGCTGCGAAAACTTTGCTGATATGTGACTCGGTCAAAGTGACTTTTTTTTGGCCCCCCCCCCTGTAGACTCCCATTACAGACCAAATACGACCCTCTTAAAACAACCACCTGCACGTGGTGCGCGCTTTGCTGGATTTGCACTGCCGAAATACGATCCCCATAAAATCAGTTATACTCACGTGCTGCCCGCTCCACTAGATTTGCACTGCCGAAAAGCGAATATAATGCCACACAGCTGGGCCAAATGTTCCTTCCCAGCTCGAGAAAGTGAATTCAGAGAGTGCAACATTACAGGACGCGAAAATGAAGGATTGGTTACGAGAATGTGTGGATCGGAGGTTTTACGTTGCTGACAAATACAAGCGTGATCAACGCTGGAAAGTTTGTGCAGCTGCATGTAATCGAAATCGCACGAAAATTATTGGAAAGGACGGACAGGGTTGGTTATTTTCATAGCTCGTTCAATTTTAGGCGCAGATCGGCTTGGTGGGGCATTTTCCTGGTTCCCGGCAATCACTGCTGAGTCTCCTGTAGAGACTTGGAAGTCCCTGTTAAGTTAAGCAGCTGCATGAGCTTCGTTCGCACTTGACCAGAGTCTACAACTCCTGCCACGTGAGACTGTAATTCAGCAGGAACTGGCACAAGGAAGTGGAGAAAATGAGAAACGCCCCCTTTTTGAGCCGAACAGCGCCTAGTTCTTTATATGATGAAAAATGCTTAGAAGATCTGATTTATGCCCATATTGATGCTTTTTTCAGTTGATGAATTTCCTTATTTCCCGAAAGAGCTTGAAGAAGCTGCTTTCCGAGAATCTAATGGACTACCCTATGTCTATGCTGAAGCTATGGCAAAACTGCTCTTTCCCGATACACCTCACTTGTTTTTCAAGGTATATTTCTGAGCGTATTTATTTCTTCTTCATCGCATATTTGGGCTTGCGCTTAGCAAGTTTTTTTTTGTTGAGAGGACCTGTTCAGGGATTGTTCAACGTCTGTGAATTTTTTCGCAGACATTTGATATTCGTGTATCCACCCAACAAACTATCTGATTTATTCAGTCAGCACTGTGGCTGCATTGGCAGCCCCTTCCTTTATGCCTGTAGATATTTATTTTAGGACCAAGATCACGGGAAGCGGGTTTGGTTGCACGAAGTGTTGGACCGTCGCTTCCCAACTCGTGACAAACTGCATCATGTTGCCAAGTGGAAGTCTTGCACAACGGCGATTAACAGGAACAAAGCAGAAAGTGAGTTTTCCTTGAAACTTTGGCAAGCTGTACACGCACCTCCGAGGTCGCTCTTTTCCATATGCTAGGTGAGTGGGTCCGCAGCTGCAGTAGTGTGCCATTTTC